AGAGTGACCATCACCGCCGCTGCGGCTGCGAAACGCAGGTGCCATGCCTACCGCGAAGATTGCACTGTCCGCTATGGGCGCGTGGGGGTTGTTCATCGGCACGATGCTGACGACCTTCCCCGCCAACATCCTCGGCGCGTACGGCATCGACTTCTTTGAGTGCCCGGCAAAGCAGCCTCGCGGCGCTCCGGTCTGCGACGAGGTCAAGCAGAAATCGGTCGCCTACAACATGTTCGCCATCGCGGGGATCCAAGCCATCTTCACTGCTGCGCTATGCATCAACTTCGCCCGCGAGGGTGTCTCGCAAAAGGCGCAGTGGCACTCCAAGCCCTGTATAGCGCAGCCACAAGCGCTCTCCCTCACACGCCGCTCGGAAGCACCCGCCTCCCAGGCAGCAGGCTCGCTCCGTCCTGTGCTTCATGGCGATCCCGGCACATGCGTGGTTCGTGGTCAGCGAGATCATGATCCTGCCCAACTGGCCGGCGGCGATGCCGAAGGAAGGCCTCTACTTCAACATTGTGCTCTGGACGACCTTCATCATCCTCTCGTACCTTGGCTGGAAAGAGTCGGGCGCCGCCCTCCCCGACACGGACGCGCTCATTCCAAAGGGACGGTTCGGCACCCCCCTCCTCGTGTGGGCGATCAACAATACCATCTCGTATGGGTTGCCCCTCGTCCTCCTCCGCGACAAGATGATGGAGCAATACGCGGTGCGTGCATACCAGACCTCACCACCCGATAGTGCATGTGGTGCACGTACACGTAACGCACGCACGCATGGCACGCAAAACCTTAGGTGGACTCGTTCATGGCTGGCTTCACCCCCGACGTAAAGTTTCTCATCGACACCGTCCTGGGCAACACCGGCAAGTTGTTTATCAACAACACCGCGGCGGTCATCGCGATTTGCTCCGTGGAGCCGACCAATGAGGACACGCTTTACCGGCTGTCGCGCGCCGTCGTTTCTGTCGGCTGGTACTACCTCGGCGCCTTTGCGATCTGGGCGAACGTCAACTTCCTCCTCGACTTCGCCGACCCCATGCGCACCTTCCAGTTTGTCAAGGACTCCGCCGTCATCCAATACGTGAACCACGCAGTGGTCACCGCGCCGATCACCATCAAGAAGGCGAAGTGAAAAGGGCGTGCGCCGTATAGGCTGAGTCCCGAGAGCACCTTGCCCTTGCCGTGAGCGTGGCGCGCGGTAGCGTTCCTGCTGCACACGCTAGAAAGGGAGGCAGGTTGATCCGCCCGGTGCCGCGGAGCGCGGTCCGGCGTGTAGATTTGGCCGGATTTTGCTTGCACTGTAAAGAGCTTGCGGGGGCGGGGGTCGAGAGCGAAGGCTTGCCACCATGTATGTATGTATCTGATTGATTGACGGGAAGGCGAAACACAGTCCGACCAACGACTGGGATGTATCTGAGGTCGCGGCTACTCTCCTAAGCTGTGAATCAGACGCACTTGCCTTCGGGGGCAATCCCGCTAGGGTGGGCGTGCTTTCACAGCCTCACGAGAGTAGGTCGCGGCGGGGTCGAAGAAAAGAATTAGGACGCCAAAAACTGTGTGCTCGAACCATGCATGTCATTGTTCAGCGATGCGATGACTCTCCCTTTCCCGAAAAAGAATTTTATACAAGAAAACTCCCTCGCACGACGTACTAGGCACGGGACTGGCCAGCACTGGCACTAACACAGGTACACACCAAAAAGGAAGAATCACGCGGGGTGTCCGGACCCCCCCAGCAGCAGAGCGCTGCTGCTGGGGGGGGGGTCGGCCATGGCTTTAGATGTGCAGGGGGGGGGTACCGAGCAGTGTGCGGCCGCTCTCGTGACGGCGGCATGGGGAGGCATAAAGCCGTATATCACGTCTCCATGCCGCCGTCAAGTCGCAGCCAGTCTGCGGCGATTACAGTCTGCGAGCTTTTCAGAGCCAAGCGATTGCGCGAAATCCCACACACTGGTGGATTTTGGGGCGCTGTGGACCCTCTACCTCTGGTCGACGACCAAAAAGCAGAACAACTCAGTGCAGTGTGGCCCCGCGCGGAGCGAGTGGAGACACAGCACACACCGCCTCCCCGCTTGCTAAAGGAGGGCGCGCGCAATATGCCGCTCCTGCGCCGCGCGAATTTCGTCTCGGATCGCGGCGTCTGCCGTGTCCTCGGCGGCGGTGCGACCCTTCCGGTCGAGGACGAGCGGGCTCCCGCCGCGCTCCAGCAGCAGCGACACCGCCTCGGGCTTGAGCTTGAACGCCGCAAAGTGGAGCGGGAACTGGAGCTTGTCGTTCGGCACGTCGCTGTCCGCGCCGCCCTCGAGGAGAGCCTCGAGAGCAGCCGTGTGCCCGCGCCGGGCGGCGCGCGAGACCGCCGTGTTGCCAAGGTATCCGCGCGCGTTTGCGTCCGCGCCGGCGCGCAGCAGCAGCTCGATCGCCGGCGCGTGCCCGTGCTCGGCCGCCCAGATGAGTGGCGTGTTCGAGCCGGGTCCGCCTGAGGGGTGGGTGGGTGGGTGGGGGGGGGGGGGTTAGGCGGCGAGGCACAGGCAAGTTGGACGAGCAGTGTGAGCGGTCGTTTGTTGGTGCGTGCGTGCGTGCGTGTGCGTGCTCGAGCCCCGCCTTCGTGCGCCGCCAGCTTGTCGGCGGAGAGCGACGCGAGCGCGGCCGTGTCTCCAGCGGCGGCGGCGGCGGCGGCGGCGGTGGCGGGCGACGGTGGCGGCCGCTTCGCATGCAGCGACGGCTCGAGGAGCGGCGAGGCGAGCCGGAAGGAGCCGAAGAGGAGCGCGGCGAGTTGCGCGAGGTTCGAGACGACCAGCTCGGCGCCATTGGTCTCGCCGCCCTCGCTCAGCCGCCTGCCCGTGTCGAGTAGGGCCGTGGCCGCGCCGGCCGCGCGCCCGAAGCTGACGTCATTCGAGGGCGAGTCCCCAACCATGCAGACCTCCTCCATCGAGCCGACCCGCCACAGCTCGCCAATGTGCAGCAGCGCCGCAGGGTCCGGCTTGGACGGCCACGCCGCGTCGCGCGAGATCGCGGGCGAGAGCGGCGCGCTGTGCCACAGACTCTTGTGGAAGTGGGCGACGGTCGCATCGCTATTCCGTGTGACCAGCGCCGACTGCACGCCGTGCGCCTCGAGCCACGCAGCCAGCTCGGCGGCGCCAGGCATCAGCGCAAGCGTTCGGCGGCCCTCCGCCTCCATCTCCTCGACGACGCGGCACGCGGTTTCGTCAGCGCGCCAGCGGGTCGCCAGGATATCCTCGCCTCGCGGCACGCCCGCACGGCGGTACATCTCCCCAAAGTCCAAGTTGGGGACCGTTAGTGTGCCGTCCATGTCGAAGACGACGCCGCGCAGAAGCGGCTTGGTCTCGGCCATCGTCGCAAGAGCACGCTGAGCGGAGGTTGGCGCTCGGAGGAGCATACACAGACAGCCACGAGGTCCCGGTGCTGCCAAAGGGCCTCGTCGGCCTGCAGCGGAAGCACTGCGGGCTTGGGTTTGAGCTCGTAGGGCCCCTAGGGGCCTAGGTGACACAACCCCCTCTCTCTTTTCTCCCAGTAAGCTATAAGTACTACACACGGCTAGATTTCATTGCGGGCCGCCTAGGCCCTGGGGTCGGAGGTACCGGGGGAGGTACCACCACGTGGGGGGGTGCTGGAGCCCGGGGGGGAGAGCTGAAGGCCCTGGGGTCGCGCGCGGCACCACCACCGACTCCAGCACCACCACCGGGCTTCGCTGTCGGGGGCGTTTAGGGCGGGGTCGGGGAAGGAGGGGGGGGGTCGGTCGCATTGGCGGCCGCGCGGCAGTGGCTGCGGGGGCGGGAGGAGGTGGTGGCGCCGACCGCAATGGCGGCCGACCCGACGAGCGCCGGGCGAGATCGCGAGGGTCGAGAGTGAGCTCGAAGCCGAGGGCTGTCGTGTGGTTGCCTATTCGCCAAACAAGTAGGCTCGCTCCATTGGCCCATCTCGGGTTGGAGCCTGGTGCCGCCTATTATTGTTGCGATGATTCCTTGGCTTCTACTATAGTGGTCACGGGATGAAGTGCGTGTTAGAGTTGTTTGGTATTGCGTGATGCCGTCGCCGCCGTCTCTCCTCGCCATCTTGACGGCGGAGTCCGTCATCTTCTCCAAACCCGCCACCAAATCGGCAGCAGTGCCAGCCCCGGCAGCCGTCTTTCGCTCCTTTCGTCGAGCCACGAGGTATCTGTCCGGACCGTCGATGCGGGCGGCGAACACTCGTTCGACCATCGTAGACGACGCCCTCACCGGCGCCCCCGCGTCGTCGTTGGCCTTGTTCGCGGCCTTGTCTGCTGCCCCCTTCTCCCGCAAATCGAGCTGCGCCCGCACTGCCGCCATTGCGTTCGTCGCCTGCGAGGCAACCTTCGCCACCTTGGCCTTCCTCTCCCGCTCTGCCGCCGCCTCCGGGTCCTCGCGGCGGTCCGCGGCGGGTTGTCGCCGGCGTCGGCTGTCACGATCATGACCGTGACGCCCTCGCCTCCATGTCGAATCTCGGCCGATCGATCGCGCGTCCCAAAGTCGCCAAGGGGCCGACTGTGGCCGCCGCGCGCCGGCACCGCAGTGGCAGGGTATGTGTATATAATTGTGGGCATATGGGCGCGCCGCCCGCTGTGCTGCATGCCTTTGTAGATTCTCTGACTTGCAAAAAGTCTGTGGTGCAAACCCTCCATCGACTGCATGCTCGGGACGGGCCTTTGCCCCTGGCCTCGAGAGCAGGGGCGAGCCGAGGCGCGGCGAGGCGGCGAGGCGGCGAGGCGGCGGCGCCGTAGCTGGTGCGCCGCCGGCCCGCCGCCGCCGCCGGGTGGCTGTGGGTTAGTGGAGGTGCGTGCGAACGGTTAGCGAGCGGCGATATGCGGCGGCGGAGGCGGGCTGCCGGCGTCCTTGGATTCGGTACTTCAGCTTGGAGTATTAGTATCATTGACATTGCGGTATGCCAGATCATACCCCAGGGCTATACCCTGATACCCTCTTGAGAGGACCCGCATTGGGCCCCTAGAGGATACGCTGATACCCTGGTGGGTACCTTCACACCGGACACGACCCACCTCTTCACACCTCCTCGCGCGCTGCGCGCGCGCCAAGACAGACAACGCGCTTGAGAGGCAGCTGCTCTACTGGAGCTGATGGATGGTTCCTCTCCCGTTGCGCGTTGGGGGGATCCTTTGCCACCCGGCTTGAGCCTCTTTGGTTGAGGCCGCGCGGGGACGCGCCGCGGACGGCGTCGGGTGCCGTGCGTCCTGGTTTCGTGTGGATCGTCGGGACGCCGTGTTTTTGTTTTCGGAATTCAAAGATCATGACAGGACCGCGACGAGTGCGACGACATGGTGACTTGGAGTGTGCGACTGCGACGACGTGCGGGGTGCGCGAGCCGCGGCGCGCGGGGCCCGCGCGAGAGAGCTGTCTCGTGTCTGTGTCTCGTCGCACAACCCATCGCAGGTGCCAGGACCCTCCTCCAGCGCCAGGTCTCGGTGGTGCGCGGCCCGATTTTTATATACGCGATACGGCTTTGAGGGCCTCACAGCTCACAGCTTGAGCGAGCTTGTGCTTTATGCGTATTCAGAATATGGACCTATTCATGACGAGTGTCTGACAGAGACCGTCGTTCGCCGCGCTGGGCGGAGAGAGGTACGCTTGGAGCGCTCAAGGCCTGTGGATAGAGCGAGAGCCGCCGCACCCGCGCCTAAGTAAGCCCACTACATCAAGAGACTGCGACAGAAGAGATTCGTGCCGTTGCCATCGGCGCCACATCCTCCCACACATTCTCGGCCGGGTCGTACCGCTCGACCGAGCTGAGGTTGCCGTCGGCATCCTCGCCGCCCACAGCGTACAGCTTGCCGTCGAGCACCGCCATGGCGTGAACCATACGAGCCGTCGTCATCGGCGCCACCGCCTCCCACGCATTCGTCGCAGGGTCGTACCGCTCGACCGAGCTGAGGAGGTCGTTGTCGTTCTCGCCGCCCACAGCGTACAGCTTGCCCTCGAGCACCGCCACGGCGAAATCACACCGAGCCGTCGCCATCTGCGCCACCGCCTCCCACGCGTTCGTCGCGGGGTCGTACCGCTCGACGAAGCTGAGGGCGCCGTCGTTGTAGTACCCGCCCACAGCGTAGATCTTGCTATCGAGCACCGCGACGCTGCGAGCCTGCCGCGCCTCCGCCATCGGCGCCACCGCCTCCCACGCATCTGTCGCGGGATCGTACCGCTCGACCGAGCTGAGGCAGCCATGGTTGTAGCCTCCCACAGCGTACAGCGTGCCGTCGAGCACCGCGACGGCGTGAGAATACCGCGCCCCTGCCATCGGCGCCACAGCCTCCCACGATTTCGTTTCAAAGTCGTACCGCTCCACCGAGCTGAGGTAGCCGTCAACGACCTCGTACCCGCCAACAGCATACAGCTTGTCGTCGAGCACCGCCATGCAGGCATGTTCACGTGCCGTCGGCATCGGCGCCACAGCCTCCCCCTCCCACTCGTTCGTTGACGGGTCGTACCGCTCCACCGAGCTGAGGAGCTCACCAGCGTCATTGCAGCCGCCGAACACGAGCAGGCGCGGCCTCTCGCGCGTCTTCAGCGTCTCCTTCCAGCCGCGGCGCCACGCGCGGCACGTCCCCTTGACGGCGTGCTCCTTGATCGGCAGCTGGGCGAGGATGTGCGGGGCGAGGTCCGGCGAGAGGAGGACCTCGGAGAGCACCCACTCGGGCTGCTCCACGAGCCGTGCGACGTGCTCCTCCGCCACGCGCATTGCGGCGGCGCTCCAGAGGGGCGCCTGCTCGTCGATGAAGGCGACGAGCTGCTCTGGCGAGAGGCCAGAGAGGCGGGCGCCGATGCGGTGGGCCATCGGTGTGGCGGCGCGCCCAGGTGCCATCGGTTTCTTTTCGCTTGTTTATCGATCAACACTTTCGGAAGACCGATGCAGAAACCCCGGCCATGCCCATGTAACGCAATTGTGCTCGATTTTTTTGATTTTTTGGTCGAGAAGTGTCTCCAAGTCTTCTGGACCCATCGATGGCCGTCGCCTCGACGCCGCTCGTCGCGGCACCATCGTGCCCGGCCTGGGCGAAGCATCGTCGCGGGCGCCAGCCGCAGTTCGACGGCAAGCCGTGCGAGCCTGCCGAGGAGGAGGACATGTGGCTGTGCCTGGCCGACAGCCGCGCGCGCAGCACCGCCGACCTGAAGCGCCTGGCGACAGCCGCTCGGGTGCGAGCGAAACGAGCAGGAGATGCAGCCGCCGCGAACACGCGCGATCGGCAGGCGCGCGACCAGCGCCGCCGGCAGCGTGAGCAGCACGACCGGCGCGCAGCGCCGGCGGTCGCCAAGACCGTGCGCCCACAACGCGGCCAGTGCGGCTGCCCGGCGCACGCGGTGTGCGGCATGTGCGTCGACCAGGGCAAGCTCGCCGCGGCCGAGCAGGCGGCCATCGACCTGGAGACGCGCTTCCACGCCTCGACGAACGTCGTCATGGACCTGGAGCGGCCCGAGGACGAGACGGCGGCGCTGCTGCAGCGCTGCGTGCACGTCTCCGACGAGACGAAGCGGCGGCTGCTGGGCGAGTGGAGCGACGAGCGCATGGCGCACGCGCTGCCGCTGCACGCATGCGCCTCGTGCGGCGTGCGGGACCCGTCGCTGACGTACACGCGGGTTGACGTGTCGGCGCTGCCGCGTACTGTGTCTGTGCGCGTAGCCGGCGGCGAAGACGAGACGCGGCACGTGTTTGAGCTCTCGCCCGAGCAGTGCGCTAAGTATCGAGGTCTTCAAAACAAAAAGGTGCGCCTTGCGTTTCCCAACGGCGCGAGCAACGACCGTCCCAACGGCGACGGTACGCACGAATTCCGCGACACCGACATCTCGCGCGTCATCAGCTGCTGGGAGTCGGACGACGGCACGCTCTACCACCTGCACCCCGAACTCGTCGATCGCCGCGCAAATGAGCACGGCGTGATGGTGCCATGCGCGATGCTGTGTCAATGGTGTGGTGACCAAGCCGACGCACGAAACAAGGAGCCCAAGGCACCCAAGCTCTCCTTGGCCGCTGGCATCGACTACGGGTCGCTGGCTCGCGTGCGCGAGCTCACGCCGCTCTCCGAGGTCGAGCGCATGCTGGTCTCGGATGTGCGGCTCTACCATGTGGTCGCCAAGGTGACGACGCACTACGGTGCCGAGCGCCCCGGCGCGCTCGAGTTGCGGTGTTGATCGCCGCGGGAGCCCTCTTATTTTCAGTTCCTTGAATCATGCTCCAACACACCCAGATATCTGCGCCCAGGCCTGCAGAGACACGCGAGGTCTGTATACGCACCCGTCAAGCGGCATGTCGCTGGTTGCCGCGTTTGCTCACGTGCAATAGATAGACCAACAGAGGCTCGAGGCACGAGGGTCCTTCGGGCGTCCATCGGTCCGTGGCTGAGGCCTGCGGGCCAGCACCAGTGTATGGGCGACACCTGTCTACGCCTTCTCCTGCCCGCCCAAGCGGCGGCGGGGCGAGCGGCGCAGACCGCCGGCCGCCGGCTGCGGGCGCGCGCGCCGCAACGCGCAAGCCACCCGCCCCGCCGCCTTTCGCCCCTCCGCCTTTCGCCGTTCCGCCGTCCGCGTTGGGGCGCCGGCCGCTCGCAGCGGCGGCGCCGGCAAGCAGAGAGCCCAGCAAATCGGGGATGCCGCCTCGGTGCATGAGGGATGGGGGGCTCCCTGGCGAGGGGTGGGAGGGGCTCGTGCCTCAGTCTCTCGCACACACGGGCGCGCCGGGGTGCGGTGGGGAGAGTGGCGGCACCCGATCGGGGCGGATCTAGACGACGACCCGCATCCCACTGGGCCTGGCGAGGGGCGCGGTGCTGGGTGCGGCGGCGGTGTCCGAGTCCGCGAGTGCCGAGTCCGTTCCGAGGCGCGAGGGGCCGAGGCCCGAGCGGGCGGGGGGCGCACGACGTGTCCGTTTTTCGCCACCGACAAGAGTCGCGGAGTATGCGCTCTCGGCCACCACACAGCACAAACAAAAAGAGCCCAACCGCGACTCAGATAGCAGCGACACGGCGGTGTGGGCGGCGTAAGGCCGAAGCTCGGCCATCACCAATACACATTCATCCAAAAAATTGTGGCCACCAACACACGACTGAGTGGCCCGTCCCGTGGGGCCTCAAAGAGCCCCAAGTACCGAAAGGGGGAGGCGTGGACAGAGCGGCGGAGGGAGGAGAGAGGGGCGCAGCCGTCGAGGCCGGCGGCGGCGGCCTCCGGCCCGCGTGACGCGCCTCGGGGGCCGGGCTCTTGGCTCTGGCTCAGAGCTCGACGGTCTGGTCTTGGTAGGTGCCCGCCTTGAGCGTCTTTGGCTCGGGCCCCGCGTTGGCCACCTTGACCGCCCCCTTGAAGGTGACGCCCTTGGCGAAGACCACCTTGCGCGGTGGCGGCGAGCCGGTTGGTGATGGGGCGAGGC